TGGTTCTGCAAGGGCTGGGGGAAGGGGAGCTTTCCTGCCTGTCACCTGGACTCATCCTGCTCTTCAGGAGAGCTGGATCCTGCTGTTCATGCCCACCCTGGAAAGGCAGCAGAAACAGTTGTCTTGTTTTCATCTCTCATCAGCATCAGCCTAAGGGCAAAGCACCCACCCAGGAGCTGCCAGTCTGACATCCCTGCTTGGTGCCAGCTGGGCAGTGGCACAGGCTTTTGTCAGCCCAGGCAGCATTTGGGAGGCTGAAATGGGAGTGACATCTCTGACCTTTTGGTACCCATGAAAGTAAAACTGCCTCAGCTTTTAGGAGCTGCCAGGGAGCTGGAGAGCCCGAGCTCTCGGCAGCGTCTCAAAGCCAGGCCATTCAGTACTGGGCTGTGGTGGGATCGTGGTGTTTCAGAGAGAGGGAAGAGTGGGGAATTCTGTCCAAAAGCAGTCTGGTCTGGCGGTCAGGAGGCTGGCATGGGCTGCTTTGTATGCAGCAGGGCTTAACTGGGTGGCGCTGAGCCAAGCCTGACCTAACCAGCTTATTTCCCTGCTTCCAGTAATGCCTCTACAAATGTGCAGGGGCCTGAAGGTCAGGGCCACGTGAGCAGGGGCCTGGGGATTAGCTGTGGGCAGAGCATGGCTCCTCCTGGGTGAGTTGTAGCCCTGAGCCACGGGAACAACCACGGCTCCCGTGTGTGCTGGAGCCAGCGTGGCGTTGGTACCTGGGATGGGTCCTGGAGCAGCACTGGGCTGGCTGGGAGCAGCACCTCCTGTGCCTGGCACTTATCAGAAGACCAGGAAAATAGATAAATGTTTACTAGTCTCACTTCAGCTCTGATTTTCCTTCTGGGTGTTGGTCACAATGGCCAGTGGGTTGATTTTTCACATGTTTGCCCTGCAAGCGTGTCTAGCTCTGGTTTTGGAAGAAAGTCCAGCAAGTTTACAATATTCTGAAAGGCACTTGGTGCCCATACCTCTGAAAAGCACAGTCATGCTCAGCTGAGCAGGAAGGGTACCTGTGGGGCAAAGGGTGACTGCTGTCCCCATTCCAGTGGAAGTTATTGACCTATTGTGGTGCACAAGTGTGTTTCTCTTAGAGCTGGGAGATGAGCTATGGAATCCTTATTCCAGACACGGCATTGTAACCGAGCAGGGATGATGCATCTCTAGGCACTGATGTCATCAGCCATGGCAGCAAAATGACATCCAACAATATCCTCAGCACAAGCATCTCCAGGCACCTCTGCAGGGCTTTGGCTCTATAAAACTGTCTCCGTTTGACCGCTCTCCCCAGGGGATTTGGAGGAGAGGGATACATGTTGGTGCTGTGGGACCTGGCAGAGCTCCTCCCTGTCCTGGGAGGGAGCTGGCACCAATTCCCAGGCCAAGAAATACTCTGGGCTTGCTCTGCGCTGCATCTACAGGAGACATCCCAGAGGCTGCTGGATGCATTCAGAACGAATCTGACATTTCTCCCCAGAGAACCAAACTTTGTCTGTCCTAATGCAATGCTTGCAATGCTCTGATCCCCTCCATGCTGTCCTGAAAGCCCCGGCAGGCCCCAGTGCTGAGCCCATTAGATGGAATTACTTAATCCGGCCCCGATGAGTGGCACCCACACCCAGGAGCGGGTCCCTTCCCTCTAATCCCTCGCTGCCATCGGCAGCACGCACGGGGCAAGACAAGCAGCACGTGAGGAGATGGTGCCTTCTCCATCCCATCTCAGCACCAGAGCCCTGAGGAAACCGCCCCGTTACCTTTTTCCCGTGAGACGCTCCCATGGTCGGATGTGTTGGCTGCGCTCCACTCTCCGGGCTGTGGGACCAGGGCTGTCTGTGTTACTCCAGGGGGGACAGACACCCGTGCTGCTCCCGGCCCCTCCGCGGCTGCTGTGGGGAGATGTGGGTGAAATCCAGCCCGTCTGTGGCGGGGTCGGGTGGGAAAGCTTGCTTTTCCTCCCTTCTTCCAGCACGTGGAGAACTCATTTTCTTCATGCACCTAACGGCTGGCTCGCACCCAGGCTCTGCCCGGGCACAAAGGCAGCTTTCATGCTGTGGATGCCCGGTTTCTAAGCCGGGATCCGTATTTTGAGAGGCTGTGGAAGATTACAGTAATTGCACTTGACAGGGCAAGATGTCACAGGATGCGGATTCGCCCAGCTGCGGCCCGGCACCCGCAGGTCCTTGCCTGTGGCATCTTTCCTAGATACTCCTTTGGTGCTTTGCCCAAATGAACCCTAAAAAATAAAGGAAGATTATCCCTCTGCTGCCTGTCTGCATTCTGGCTCTTGGCTCCTGTTGCAGCAGTGGATTTTGCAAACTTTGCTCCCACAAACACCCCAGGCTGCCTGTTTGCCAGGTTACCTGAAGCTGCATCCTGGGAGTCCAGGAGGGTCAGGCTTGTGTTTGGTGAAGACTCTGGAGATGCAGCACAGTGCAAACCAGCCAGGTAGGTGTCTGTCCCTGCAGTAACACAGCTTTCAAAATGCCACAGCACTGCAAAACCTCATTTGGAGATTACTGTCCCTGCACACCCTGTCCTTTTCAGATCCTTTTAAAGAAATTAGCAAGTTAGATTTGACTCATGAATCCATATTTATTCCCTGCCTCTCATTGTCTGGATATTAAAAAACTCTGATTTATTTATCAGGACACAGTGACTTTGGCAGGAATGGCTTTACAAAACACTGGCTGCTACTGAAGGTCCCTGCACAGGAGTTGCACTTTTAGCTCTCCCTACTTCCTGAAAATAGCGATGTACCTTAGTAACTGCTCTGTGATTGATTCAGAGGTACTTTTAACTGCCTGTAGCATGCTGAAACATAAATTTCCTTTATTTTGGCTTTAAACCAGATTTCTAATGTGCATTGCGAAGGGATAGGAAGAGTTTCCTGCAGCTGAATGGGGCTGGTTGTTTTTGGGGCTGTAGTTGATGCTGTGCTCTGGTTTACCCTGTGGAGCCACCTTTACGGCTCTTGGGCTGTTTTCAGTTTGGTTTATGAGTGCTTCTAGATCCTTTGAGGGGCTTAAAATAGTTGGCATATTTATGCTGGCAGCTCAGCAGGGCTGTTGTGTCTGCTCGTTGTGTTATTTCTTGCTGCTGCCACGGCTAGGGATGATTCAGCGCTTGGGATTAACCGCTGTTGTTGCAGCAGATTTAGGGATCGATTTATGGCAGAGGTTTCCCTCAGTGCCATCAGGTGTGTGCTAAGAGCATGGGAGGATAAGCTGGGATAAAATACTACACCTCTTCTGGGATTCCTCTGTGATGACTGTTTTGGGGTTTTATTTTAGTCCTGCCTTTGGAAGTTCTTACAGGTGTTACACAATTTATGTGGGGATTTTTCCTTGTTTAGGGAAAACCAATTGATTGGTGACATTGAGTTTTGGATCTAGGGTTTCGTCCTTCAGGTGGCCAGCACAGGACAGGCTATGTCCTTTCCTGGCCTTATCCTGCCCATGCTCCTCACTCCCCTGGGGTGACCTGAGGGCTTGGATAACCCTGTGAACTTCCTGCTAGGAGCTGTGCAGGGGCTGTTGGAAGCAGAGAAGGCTGTGCAGGACAGTCTGTTATTCCGTGCAGCTCCAAATGCTCCAGGAGAAACACTCCGTCCCCATGTTCTGCAAAACTGCTGGTCTGCTTCAGAGAATGGGGGAAAAAACAGATACAATCATCGGAAATTAAAGTCTGTACATGATGCAAATTCATCCCTGTCTCTGATGGCAGATAAGCCCGGCCATCACCCATGCAGCTCATCTGATCTCAGCAGTGCCAGGGCTCAGGGAGGGGTTGGGAACAGAATGTGCTTAGCTGAAGCATCTGGACAGGAGCAGGGGGCAGAGGCTCCCCAGGACCTGCTTGGTGTTGGGCAGAGGGTAGGGACTGCTCTAAGGAAGACTGTGGAGGTTTCCTGTCTCACCTTTGGACAGGGATCTTTCCTCTCCTGGTGGTGTCAGCTGGCTCCAGGCTGGGGTGCAGCTCCTGGTGTGTGGCTGACGCCCGTGGGTGCCAGCCTGGGAGCATTGTAACGCTCCAGAGTGATGCTGGCTCTTGGCTCTACTGGTAAAAGGCTCCCACCTATTGGTTGTGCTGCACAACTTCAGCTGCCCAAGAAACCTGCACATCCTCCATCCATCCATCCATCCATCCATCCATCCATCCATCCATCCATCCATCCCTTCCTGAGGGCAAAGCAAGGTTGGCAGATCCCTGGCATTATCCCGACCTTTGACAGGGATGAGCTTGGATTTAACCCAGTCTAAGAACCTGATAGTAAGAGAATGGCTTCAAAAAATGCTCTGTCATTATGTCTGCTTATCATAATCACTCTTGAACACCTGAAAACTACAGGTAGGATGAACTGTGAGTAGCCCTCCTTGAGGCCCATAAAAAAGAAGGCAAAACTGGTGCAAAATGTGGAGGGGAAAACAAGGGGCAGAATCCCTGACCTTTGCCTTTCCCCTGCTTCCAGCACCATCACCTGCTGCGAGACACCCTGAGGCTTCAATTTTTTGGCATCAACATTTAATCTAATTTTGTTTTTATCTCGTTTTTGGAAGTATTTTGAACCTTCAAAGTTCTTTCCATTTTATACACAGAGACTGTTTTCTTTGCTCTTCTGGGTTTAAATCAGTTTGTAACATTCAGGAATGATACTTTTGGTCTGCAAATATATTAATCTGCATTGCTGCATGCTATCCCTGTGAACTTCTGGCCTTATAGATATAATATAAATAGATAGATAGATATCATTCTGGTCCTATATATATATATATATCCCTATGGTCTTCTGGCTGTAGGAAACCACAGGACATTGGCAAGAGCTCTAATGGGAAACCACCAAAGTCTGAGCATCCCCAGGGATCACTTTACCCTGTGCCATATGGGGAGGGGGAGCTCCTGTGTGCAGAGCTGTGGGATGGGTGATGGTGATGCTTGACTGGTGGCAGAGGACTTGGCATGCTGTGCCTGCGGGGGAAATTGTTGATTATGCTTGAAAATGGAAGGGAGAAGGTAGTGTTTTATAATTAGAAATCTCATTTAAGAAATTTACAAAACCTTCTACAAAGTTTTATAGTTTAAAGATAGAAAAATAAAATACCCCAAATTGACCCATAGATGAGGATGGCTTGGCTCCAGCCTGGCCACGTGTCGGCTCAGGCTCTGCAGGCACTTGTACAGCTCTTCTCCAAGCCCTGCACAGTTCCTGCTGTGAAACAGCCAGTTCCTGTGGGAAAACAGCAGCTGCTGGACTCTGTGGCCCGGCAGTGGAGAGGCTGGAGTCCCCACGATGGGGTTGTCCTGTGGGTGTCCCTGGGTGACTGGTGAAGCTGCCCTCCATGGCAGGCTGGAGTTTGATGCTAGTCCATCTTCCTGGGGGCACAGCCCTCCATCTCCAACAGCTCAGGCCAGCCCTCGTATTTATTTGTCTCTTTATTATTTTTAATGTGCTGCAAGAAAAAAGAGAGAGAGGAGGTTGGAACAGTGCAAGTTAGCAACGTGGCAAAAGTTACAGCTCGATTTGGTGTGGGGGATAATGCCACTGGTCCTTGTCTTATGCAGACAGGTGGGTGAGGTGTAGCTGGGGAGGTGCCCTGAGGAGGATGGAGCCTGCAGAGCTCATGGCAGGGGTGTACCTTATACCCATGTACCTTTTCAAAGGGGCTCTTGTTCATCAGCCCTTTTGCTCCCAAGAACACCCAGTTGTCTCGGAAGCCCAGCTTGCCCACGTGGTTGCTGCCCAGCTCCGTGAAATAGGCCCTTACTTTGTCATTCATCCTGAAAGAGGGTAAGGAGGTGTCAGTGTGGTGCCAGCTGGGTTTCCCCTCTTTTACCCCTCTGTTGGTGGCAGCAGCATGTCCAGCTCCCCCAGCTGTGTGTTTCTGGGAGTCTGGTGTTGCTTCTGTGGGCAAACTCACTTTGTGGCAGCATCATCGTAGCTTGCTGTCAGCACAAGGGTGCCATGCTTGATCTCTTGGAGGAAGGTTTGCAGCTTGGTAATGTCTGGGAGAGAAGAGCATTAGGGAGAGATAAAAGGGATTTAGCAGGTACTTCTGCATGGTAGCTGAGGGAGCCTGCTCTGGGTTGGTGGGAAATAACCTGACTGTGCTGGTGCTAGCCAGGATTTGGGGGAATGGTAGGCTCCCAAATGATGCATTCCCCATCCTATGTTCCCACCTGGGCCCTCCTGCAGTGCACAGGATTGATGCCCTCCTTTTGATACAGCTACAGGGCAGAAATTTCTCCTAAACTTTGCTTGCTAACTGTGAAATCTAGCTGTGTGAATTTACTTCCCAACACAAGAAATGAACCTGCTCAGCCACAGAGCCGCCTTCCCTGCCCTCATGCCTCTGGCTGTACTGGGGGAATCATTCCTCTTCCCGCACCTGCGGGATGCTTGAATCCAATGCCCCATCTAGTGGCACATGAGCTGACTGCCGCCTTCTTCCCAGTGCCTCTCCCACCGAGCATCTCACTTGTGAACTTGGCTGGAAACATCATTATATTGGTGATTCTCCTTAAAACTCCAGAATTATCAAAAGTAGGTTGCACAGGAGTGATTGAGGGGGCCATGTCTCCCTGAGCGCCTTCATTTGTCCTGCTGTGAAAGGCAGGGGAATGAGCTTCTGCTCAGCCACCACCAGTATTCAAAAACTGAGTTAAAGGTTGCAAAGTATCATGATCAGTGTAACTTCCTGATCTCAGAGAGTACCTTTCTCAAGTCTCAAGTGCCTTGGTTTATTCAGGTTAGTGAGATCATGTTTTCCAGGCTATTACATGCTTGTAAAAGGAGCGAGAAGCCAATCCTGGATGTGGAAGCATTGTGAGGACGCCAGGCTCGATGGCCTCAGGGAAAGCTGAGATTTTACCACCCAGGCTGGCAAGTCTGGTCAAAGTCCACTTGGCTTTATCATTAAATAGCTGACAGAGAAGCAGCTGAAGTAGCCAGGAGTGCTGGTGTGAGCCCTGGCTGGGAACCTCTGAGGAGCAGAGTGACTGTGCTTACCTCCAGAGTACATGTCGAAGGAGTTGGTTTTCAGGAGCTGCCCAGTTGTTCCTGAAAGGTTAAAATTGAAAACAGAGCACAGTGAGTTTGCACTGGGCTTTGCCTGGCTGTGAGCCTGGGGCTCCCTGCAAAATGCTTTGCTCTTCCCTCAGTGTGTTGTAACTTCTGTGATGGTGACTGTGCTCCCCATGCAACACCAGATGGATGTGTCTCTGGCCCAGCCACAGTGCCTGGGATGGGGTCTCCAGGGACCTGTGCTTTCCTGGGGAAGGGAGGACCCCTGGCAGTGGGGAGAAGGGGGTCAGTGCCTGCCCAACTCACCATTCACCAGTGCAATGTTCAGGCCTCTGCCAATGTTGTTTTTCACGCTGCTCATGAGGCTGGAAAGGAAAGCAGAGAGCACCAGTGAGTGCAGGGATGCCCTGGAGGTGCTGACACCAGTGAAACTGTGGTGGGGTGAAGTGGCTGTAGATGGCAAAATAACCAGAAGTGGTAGCAAAGAAATCTATTTACATTTTTTTTTACCCACAAATACACTGTGATGGCCATTGATGTGCTTGGCAGATGCCAAATTTGCCCTCTTGAAGGCCAGGCCAGCCATGGCTGCCTTGTCCCTGCCATATGCTGCTTACACCAAGTCTTCAAAGCAGATCGAGGGTCCCACCACATTTGCAGCACCACTGATGATCCTGAAGGCAAAATAATTCTTGGGGCAGCTCTTCTGGTTCCCACACTTGTGCTGTGGCAGCTTCTCACCTGTGAGGGAGGAGTGGAGCTGAGAGTGATGGCTTTGTCCCCATGTGGAGACACCAGCTGTGTCCCTGAGGGGCTGAGCAGGGCTGGCCCTGGGATACAGTGGCCCACTAAGTGAGCAACACCTGGACCAACTTCTTGCATGAAGAAGGTTTGTCCTGGGGCTGGGACCGGCTTCTTGTTTGAAGTTTATGGTGCCAAGGCCAGGTGCTGCTCCAGGTGTGACACATGGTGTGTGCTGGGAGCATTTGGAGCTGATGTCCAAGGCACCAGCTTGGGGTTTTCTTGCCCAGAGTTTCCCCATTCTTGGCTGAGGCAGGGACCTGCCAAAGACCCTACTGCTGTGTGCAGTAGGAAAATCCCCCATGTTTGGGAGAGGGGGATTTTTGCCTCAGGGAAGGAGCTCTTGAAGGAGATCTCACTCTTCCACCATCCCCCTGAACCCTGGAGTTGTGAGATGAAGTCGAGAGCGATACTCACTGCTGGGCTTGTTCATGGCACCTGTGGGTATCAAACAGGAGGATCAGACACCCTGTAGAGCTGCTGGCTCTTCCCCAAGCCAGGAGCAGCTGCTCAGGCACCAGCTCTCTCAAACTGCCTCCCATGGTTGCAGGCATCCCTGCACCCAGCCACCCCAGTGCAGCTTCCCACCACACTGCCTCTCCCTGCCCTAGTGGCCAGAGCTGGTGGCTAAAGCTTGGCCAGAGACTGCAAATACAAGTGGTCAGGGCAACTCTGTCCAGCCCCGGGCGCTGGCTCCAATGGAACCTCTCGCACCCTCCCTCCGGATCCCTCTGGAGCCCGCTGGTGCCTCACCGAGCCAGCTCCGCAGGCTGACGGCTTTCCAGCTCTGGTGGAAGTAGGTCTGTGTGATGAACCACATGCCCAGCAGGGTGATGAGCAGCACCATGTACCGGATCACACCTGCAGACACAGGAGAGGAGCCGGCTGAGAGCGGCAGCTGCAGCACGGGGCAGGCACCGGATCATCCTTGGGATTTGATCCCTGTGTCCCAAGGTTACCAGGCACGGGATGATAGCCAGCGCTTGCGTGGGTGTGGGAAGGCAGCAAACAATCCCTCACCCTCCAAATGGAGTCTGATCTCTTAATTACCATCTCCAGAGTATGTGGTGATGCCCAGATAGGCATTATTGCTCTGTTGGGAGGCACTATTCATATTTCTCTCTATGTTAAAGTAAACCTGATAATTACTCAGAAAGCTATGTAAATCCAAACATTTCTTATGTTCCCAGTGCTGGGAAGGCTGCTATCCCCCAATTAGTCACTAGCTACAGCCGAGCAGCTGCTGATACAACTGTGATTGGCATTTGGCTTTAAAGCAGCGCTCATCAGAGCAAAACGTTCCAGTCCTGCATGGAAAGAGAGCAGAAAAATGTACTTTTACTGCAGCTGAATGGCTCTTATGGAACCAGGAATGTCTCAATAGCCATCTCTTCCCAGTCACAGAAGATTTCACTGGGAAAAATACAACAGGCTGAAATCTACACAAATCTTGTAAAAACCTGATGCTTGTACAAAGGCCCTTTCCCACATTCCTGGCAGGGGAAGGGCAGGGCTGCTGGGCTTGGGAGGCATCATGTAAATGAGAAGGAGGCATAAAGAACCGTAGGAAAACAGACAGAGAAAAGTAAATATGTGTCACTCCTTACTTGTTATCCGCATGGTGGTGGGCAGAGAGAGCACACCTGGGAAGGACTGAGTCACAGGTCACCCTGAGGAAAGAAGGTAATGCCTTAAAGAGTGCCTGTAACCCACCAAAGGCAGGCAGATTCTAGATGAGAAGATAATTGCTATGTTTAATTACATTTGTAATAGTGAGGATGTCATCAAAGATGTACAAATTCTTATGCAGGTTTGCTTGGTCTCTCATTAAGTCCTGGAGCAGGTGGCACTGACTGAGCTTGCTTCCTTCTGGATCTTCCCTGAACTCTCCCCCAGGTCTGCAGCCCCATGGTTCATGCCCTGCTCTTGGTGGTGGACCAGCCTTTTCTGTTCTGCTGATAGCAGTGAGGTGGACACTTCCAATCACAGCTGCGCTGCATTTCCTTCTGCCATGATGTAAAGTAGATTTCAAATATTAGGGACTGCAAAATGCTGTCTGAGGACCGGCTGTGATCCTGCCCAGCCAGGGGAATCTCTGTGAACAAGCTTGTCTTCCTTAAAAATCCAAAGGAGAAGGGAAGACAGGCAGCACCACTGTGCTGAGGAGAGCAGCCAGCTTTGTGGACACCTGATTTAAACCCAGAAATATTTCCACCTGGCCAAATCCTGGAGCATCTTTACCCCGTGGACAGGGTGCGGTTGTAATTTGGAACATGAACTATTTCCTACCGGGGAGAGTCCATCTGCCACCCTCTGCCCTGCTGCCACCCCACACACCGGGCTCCCCCAGGGGCTGGGACCACTCCTACCTTTGAAATTCGGGGCTGCAGTCTGGTGAACCTCTGTCCTGGAAGCCCCGCTGGAGCCCTACGGCGAATTGTCACTTGTGAGATGGGTGCTGCAAGTTAATGAGCCTGATGTTAACTACAGCAGCCCTTTAGTATTTGACAGAAAATTTGTAAACGAGCTGTGCTGAGAGTTGCTTTTCCTGTTTGAAGGGTAAATAAGGAGCAACGGGCTGGAGCAGGGCTGGGCTGAATGTTGATTTCAGGCTGCTGCGTCATGAGGAATGAGAGAAAAGCTTTTCCTCCTGCCCAGCCCTGCTCCGGGTCCCCTCCCAGGGTTCGCTGTGTTACTGACCGTGGAGCAGCCTTGGGCCCTGGGCTGGCTGGGCCTGTGTCCCCTCAGCACCCTGAGGAGATGCTTCCCATGGCTTCCCCTGCACCCCGGGCTGGGTTGCAGCATCACTGTCTGGGGTTTTTAGGCAGCCCCACAGTGATGTTTCAGCTGATGCTCCTGGAGCCCGGCACTTCTCCCCTTGAGACCCCTCTGCTGTCCCCACACCTGCTGGGACACTGCAGCAGGGACGGGCACCAAAGCTGCTCCAGCACAGAGCTGCCAGCTTCCCATGGGAGACTGCACTCTAGGGAAAGCCTTGGGAGGTATTTGTGTCCCTCATGTATAGACACAATGTGTTTTTGACAGTGTGCCAGCTGAGCTCGCTGGCTTCCCAGCAGCATCTCCCCTCTCTCTGCAGGTATTCCTCACAGAGGAAGGTTGGCTGTGAGCAGGAATCTGTCCCCACAGGAGGTAGCTGGGGGGTCTGTGATGCCCTAAGCCCTTCCCCACACCCCAGCCCTCAGCACAGTTACTCTGAAACGGATTTTAAAGCTTTTGTCAGAGCTGGCATGAGCAAGCCCATTCCACTGAGCTGGTATAAGAGACACAGACCTGAAAAAGGAGAGTCTAAAGGTTTTAGAGGACAAATGTTGCCTGTGGCTGGATCTGAAGTGAACAGCACAAGGCTCTTCTCTTTTGCTCCTTTCAGCATGAAGTTTATAAACACAGGGACCCTCTTCCCATTTCTGGCTCCCCATCCCAGTGCCTGATCTGATGATGGGGTTGGAAAATGGGGCCATTTCTCACAATTCCCCTTGGCAAGTTGTGAACACTTCAGAACTGGTATTGGTTTGCTTTGGCAGCTTGTTGTCTTCCCCACAAACCCCACGAGCAGAGCCTAGACCTGGTGAGGATTCAGACCTGGGGTGTGACTTGAACACAGTGAGCAGGGCAAAATTCCACTGGGTTTGCAAAACCTTCCCTGTCTGCTTCCCAGAGCTACAGTGAACATTGGCCTCACTGGGGTCCGTTGCACAGTCCTCCCATTCACCAGAGTTATGTTTTTCCTTTGCATGTATTGATTTCATTGCAAAGGAAGAGAAACTGAAAAATAAACCAGTAAACACCAGTGCTTTGAGGAAGTCATAAGCCCATAGAAAAAAGGGCTATTTATCTTCACCTTAATCCCAGATAAAATTTACCAGGTGAAGTCTTTGGGTGGTGAAATTCCTGGAACCTGACTGCATTACAAGAGGGTGGCCCTGTCCTGGGATTTCTATTATATTATTTTTTAACTGTTTACATTGATAATTTTTTTTTCTTCCTAGGGTTGTGCCAGAATAAAAGGCACCTGTGCTGCCGGCAGGAGAGTGAGAAAAGAAAGAATTGTGATAGGTGTTAAACAGTTATTTGTCTAATAAACCTGAAACTTGTTTGCTTAACAAAACATTCCAGGAACAAGAAAGTTCTTGGACAAATACTGCTAAAGAGGCTGGTGGTGTTGAAAAGCAAAAGCTCCACCCAAGCCTGCTCTGGCCTGAAGTGCCGCTTGGCGGAGCTGAGTCACTGCTGCTGGGAAGATCAGACAGATCCCTGCCCTCGCAGGGAGGATGCAGCAGGTGGATGTTCCTGTTCTCCCTCAGTGCTGCAGGAAAACTTTACTTCCCTTCCCCACAAACTTCTGCCTTTTTTCTCCCTTTTTTTTTTTTTTTCCCTTTTTTTTTCTGCTTTTGAGTCCCATATGTTTCTCTCTCTCCCAACAGACTGTGAACAAAATAATTTCGCTGCAGAATGGGGATGCGACTCCAAAAAGGGTGACTGCTAGATGCCCACAGCCACTGAGCCACCTGTCCAAAAGCAGGGTTTTCCTGTACAGCTGAATGCAGGGGTGCAGAGAAGGGACTGGCAGGGTGGGTGCACATCCACCCTGTGTTCAGGGTTTATCACCACAGGGGAATGGAGAATGCTACAGTGCCATTTTCAGTCTCAAAAGGAATCAGTCTGACTAAACTTTGCTGAGTTGCTCAATAGAATGGTGCTGTTTGCTTGAGAGCTTATAAATTTCCTTGCTTTCCTTGTCTTCTGCATCCACCAAATGGCTGGAGAGGGCATCTTATGGCACAACTAGCCCTGGCACAAGCCCACAGTTATCCACGGTGTTGACCAGTGTTTTGCTGCTTTCTTCCAAAAAGCACTTGTGTCCTCCTACCCTTCCATCTAGTCTGGCTTCTCAAAACTCTGGACGATGCCATCAGTTTTTTAAAGGAAGAAATTCTATCCTTGCTGGCGCCTGTGGGCAGCAAGAGCTGGATCCCTACACCAAGCCTTTCAGCAGGGCAAGAGAAAACAGACGGCATCCTGAGCAGCAGCTTGGCCTTGGACTAGCCCCACACATTGCAAAGTGAACACCCTGCAAATTCATCCATAGCCATGCTGGTCTGGCCCCCACATCACCGAGCTGACCCATCACATCACAGCCCACCACAGCTCCCCTCTGCCACGGGGAATTCGTTCCTTCAGCCCACGGCACCAGCACAGCTGCACCCATGGGACGGGCGCCGGGAGCTTCCCCTTCCCCTCCAGCCGACCGTACGGAAAACCCCCTAAAACCTTCCCCAGGCAACTCCCTAACCTGCCAGTAAGTCAAAAGAAAAGTGCTGCAGGAACCCATTATTTCAGTCATACAATAGAAAAGGCATTTCCCCGGTCGGGGATGGGCCAAGCCCACGTACCGCTCAGTGTCCCCGCGGGCTGTGCCGGCCCATCCCGGCCAGCTCCGTGTGCTCGGCAGCGCGCTGGGGCAGCTGCCCAGCCCGGACAGCCCCCTGCGACTCGTGGCCAGCCCTCTGCGACTCGTGGCCAGCCCTCTGCGACTCGTGGCCAGCCCTCTGGGACTCGTGGCCAGCCCTCTGGGACTCGTGGCACCTCCCCGAGCCTTCTCTCCCTGCCCGCTGCGGGGCCGCAGCGCCCGGGAGCGGCTCTCCTGCGGGAGGGAGGAGACACCCATGGCTGCGTTCCCTTCCGAGCTTATCTTCACTTTGGCCCTTGCCTTCTTCCCTCAGAAGCGGGAGGCCTCTCCCACGGTGGGCACCAGCCTGGCTTTCTGCTCTTTCAGCAAGGCAGGGCTGACGGGGGTGCTGCAATGGGAACAGACGGGCACGCAGCCAGGAGCGGTGCTCCCCAGGCTGGGGTAAAACCAGAATAACCTGATCTGTCAGGATTTCCCCCCAGCTGTGCTGCATGTCCGTGGGCTGGCCCCGAGTCCTGGCTTCTCTGCCCCTGCGGCCCTGAGTTCTCTGCCTCTCATTTACAGGAAGCTGGAGGTTCCTTTTCCAAATAAACATTTATTTATCCAGCAACAGTCCAGAACTCTAAAGGAGTCTTGGGTTAACTCAAGGTATAGATTTAGGCTGTTTTATTTTTAATAATTTATCACTGTTATTGTTATGGTTCTAAAGGAAGAAATGACTCCCAAAGTTAGGACTAGCAGCTGTCTATTTTTTCCAAAGTTGAACCTCATTTACCTTGCAGCCAAGAACAAAAGTGTTCCCATTCCTTCTTTCCTTTTTCTTTTCCATTCTTACCACTTAGAAGAACCAAACGATTTCTCTTGGAGCTTTAAAAGCAATTTTCATCCAAGAACCAGTGGAGGAGATGTGGGGCTGGCAGTGACAGCGCTGCCTTTGGGACTGCAGCTTGCACAGGGCTGGAGCGAGCCCTGTGGGACCAACACTGCTTCCTGATAATTAATTTAATACCTGAGGGTGATCTCTGTATAAAGCTGTGTGCTGAGCTTTTCTTTGCTTCCCCCCAGCTCTGGTCCTCAATGCTGGGCAAGAGGTGCAGGGGGTGCTGAACACTGGGGGGAATCACAAACCAAAGCCTTCCAGACAGGGAGCAGAAAAGCAAACATGCCTGGCTCTGCATTGGGATAATTATTGCCCTTGGAAGGAAATTTTAGCTGCGGTGAGAGTCTGAGCTTAAACAGCACAGTCTAAATCAAAAACCTTCTTGCTCTCTGGGGAAATATCCTTCCTATTAGTTTGTTTAGCTGCTGGCAATAACCGCCTCGGCTCAATAACAAAGTGCCCCAAGCCCTGGAGTGCCACAGCTCTCGTCCCTGCTGTGTTCCCCTGCTTCCTGCCCCTGCAGGAGCAGGCGCACGGCATGGGGATTGCAACACCCTGGGGAAGGCCTGTTCAATCATGAGTTTTACCTCCTGTTTCAAGGAACCTGAGGCCAAGTCCTCTATGGGGATGGAGGCATTTCTGCTGCTTGCAGAGGAAATGAACAAAAATCATCAGCAGGGCCAGGAGCCTCCAACAATGAAATCTTGTGTGAAATGCTTCTGCTCTCTGGAAGTGAACATTTCATCCCAGATGTTTCCCTGAAACCACAGGAAAGGATGGGGAATTGTGGGCTTTCCTTGTGGCACATGCTGGTGTGGGGAGCCCTCGTGTCCCATCTCTGCATCCTGTGGCAGCCCAGGTTTTGCCCATTCATTGGGGCACACAGCAAAAATGGGCTTTTAAATCCCACCTAACATTAGGGAATGTGCCAAGTGCTGGGAGTGGGGCATCAGCTTAGTTTTGACTCAGCAAATAATTAACTGGTGTTGTGCAATTAAATTGCATCAAATCTCATTCGCAGGCTCCCCCAGGGGGTTCTGCGTGATAAGGAAAAAGAGAAATTAAGAAAAAAATAATAGATGTGGTATCAAAAAGCTGCCAGACTGGGGGATGAATAATCAATGGGGCAAACACTGCACTGTGGCAGATCAGCAGGAGTGAGCTGGTGGGTGAGGAGTGCTCTCCTCCCTCCATGAGTCAACACTGGGTGCATTGACCCTCAGTGAGTGGTGGGAAGCATTGGGACACTGGTGCCAAGGAAGTGGCTGCAGGACTGTCCCTCCCAGGATATGAAAGTTCAGCCCTGGGAGGAGGTTTTCCCCCAAAGATCCCTTGTGGGGCTCTGCAGTGCCCGGGAAATGCTCCTTCTCAGGGCTGTGCTCACTGGGATAAGCTGAAGATAAATTCTCTCAGGAGAGGTTTGGCCGCTGATAAGCACAATGCGTGTATGGTTTCAGGTTGCTCCTGCCGAACTACTGCAGATGTTCAGTGTAGCTCCTCTGAAAGGAAACGATCTGTAACTTCTGTGTTTGTCTTGTGTTAAACAGCACCTGCAGCTCCCGCTCGCCACATGCGAGGGGTGAAGCAGGGCGAGGGCTGTCCCTGCAGCCCACACCTCCCACCTGTGCTGCTGCGGGGGATTATTCACCCTCCACTAAACAATCCTCTACTCACCTCTCCTCTGCCGCTTCTGCAGAGGTCAGCAATCAGCACTGCTCCATCGGGCAGAGAGTGAATCAGGCCAGCAAACACATCCCCAAGGTTCCAGGGGCCACTGAGCATCCCGGCACAGTTTCCTTGTGCCGGATGGGAGGAATTGCGTGAGGACAAAGTTTTATAGGAGGGCTGATAAAACAATATCGGACAGAAGGGTGAGGGAGCAGTTCCAGGGAGGGGGCAGGAGGCCGGGAGGGATTGTGTGCCGGCTGCTGGAGGTGCTGTTGTGTAGCGCCGGCTCTGCTGCGGGGACAGAAAAATGAACAAGGGAGGGCACAGACGCTTTTACTATTAAACCAGAAATTAGCTTGTGCGGTGCTAAGCCCCTGGTCTGCGGGCCCAGCACAGCCAATCTGCTTTTATTGTTTTGCAGGACTCCTCTGCAACAGAACGATGACAAATACCAGGAATTAGCACAGTGTAATTACTCCATATTAGCTGAATTCACAGTACAGACACAGATCATAAACAGCCATTGATTATTCCTAATTTCACATTTTTACCATTCTGAATTGCAGCAATTATGCCTGTCTGAGGGAATTAGCTTCTCTTTCAACCCTGCAGGTTCCCAGTCACTGCCCTTCCTTTCAGAGACTTTTTTTCTTACTGCTTAAAAAAAGGACATTCAACACAAATCCCTCCCTATTTCTGAAATAGAATGTCCTTCCCTTCCCCCTCTCCTCAGTCCCTAAATCGCTCTGACTTCACAGCCCAGAGGTTGCTCCTTTTGCTGCCAGCTACCTCAAGATGCAGGTGGGTGCTTGGTGTGTTCTGGAACAGCAGGACCACATCTCATTTCACTCTGGGCTCTTGTAGAGCCATCAGCAGCCCTGGCTCTTGGTGCAGGTGGTGCAAAGATGCCTGTGGGAAGGGGCCTGGGCACACAGAAGCTCAACATCCATCTCCTGCTGCCACTTGATCCATGCAAGCAGCGCTCCTGTTTAAGCATTGTCTCCTTTTTTGAAATAGGCCAGGACATGATTTCAAAAAGCTAATTTGAACCCCTGGTGCAATCGTGTTGAAATCTCTCTCTCCAGCTGGGTAACACCTGCACCCTTCCCAGACAAGATCTGTGAGAGAGGCTGGTAGACCTCAGCACTTTCTTGCTACAGACTGCAAGCTGTATTAAAAAAAATGAATGTAGATATAAATTATTAATATTTGCATGGGAAATTTCTAACCCTATTAGTATCATATCATTAAATTTGCTTCTTGTGCACAGGCAGTGATTTCATTACAAAGGGTAGCAGAGCGTAATGCCAGCTCTGCTGTGCTGGCTTGGTCAATTAACGATGAGAGGGGAAAGAATCTGTTGTTTGCTGATGGCAAAGCCTTTGGGACTTTTCCTTTTGCTTTTCCCCCAGTATATACTGAGGGATGGTGGGTGACTGCCACTGGGCACATGCTGGACTCACAGATGTGCTGGGGTGTTAAGCTGGAACTGGGGGGTTCAGCCCAGAGGAAAGGAGACTCAGGGAGGTCCTTACTGCTCTCTACAGCTCCCTGAAAGGAGGCTGTTGCCAGGTGGGAGTCGGTCTCCTCTCCCAAGTAAGGAGCGACAGGATGTGAGGAAATGAGCTCAAGCTGCACCAGGGCAGATTGGATAGATCTAGGTTGGATACTAGGAACAATGTCTTCACCAAAAGGGTTTTCAAGCATTGGAACAGGCTGCCTAGGAAGGTGGATGAGTCTCTGGAGGGATTTAAAATATGTGTAGATGTGGCTCATGGGTCAGTGTTCAGTGGTTAACTGGGCAGTGCTGGAGGAACAATTAGACTTGATGATCTTAGAGGTTTCCAACCTAAACAGCCCTATGACAATAAAGTTCTGTAAAGGGATGAGGGTCTGAAAAGCCTCTGGTCCAAAGCACTTCCCACTGCTGGCATCGGACAGGGAGTTATTTATTCCAGGCAGTGGCTATGGCCATCGAGCAGCAGCAGCAGTTTTTTATTGCATCCATTCTAGGACACTGAAGAAAGATTATGCATGCTTGCACCATGCCAGCTTTTTATTAGATTGCAGGCAGGGGTTAAACTGATCCTTGTCAGCACAAATATAATGCCCAGGGTGATGGGAGCAGCATAAATTGAGGACAAGAGGTGGCCGCTTTTACCGCGGCTCTCAAGAATGCTCTGCTGTTTTACTGCATCATTTGCTCTTTAATTGGGACATTTCCCTCTGGCCAGGGGATGTCTTTCCTTTTTTTGCCAATGAGGTGCAATAAATAAATGGGCTGAGACACGGACTCTGAGGGGAGGTGAAGTACAGAGGGCATATGAGTGACTGTTCCAGGGCCCTTTGAATGTCCCCAGTTTGCCACAGTGGCACCTATTCTGGTGCATCTTTCCCAAGCTGGGGACACGGGCAGGGACTGTCCTGTGGTGGCAGGGAGTCCACAGTAGTGCAAATCACACAGGTGCTTCATCTATTTTTCACCTCCATTTTTTTCAGAGCAGTCCTGTCATGAGGTGACAGACCTTAGTGCTGGGT